AAATGTACAGGGTGATTCACGCAAGTATGCCATAGTCGGTGTTGTTGTTTTTTTTTTAATGAAACACCTTGTATATTTGCATACATACATTATTCAGTTTGTTGGAATCGGTTCATTAAGAGGATTTCAAAAATATGCAAATATACAGGGTGTTTCATTAAAAAAAAAACAACACCGACTATGGCATACTTGCGTGAATCACCCTGTACATTTAAATTTATGTTTACATAACGCACAACTCAATTCAAAAGTTGACGTGTCTCGGCATTTTTTACAATTTTCTAAAATAATGACATAAAGAATTTTATTCCATAAGTGGTTTCCACACTGTATATATATAGAACACAAGTGTTTAATTGCCATTATTCTAATAACATTATTTATGTTAAGCACTTATATCAAATGCTGATAACAATAGATTATACATTAAGTTTTAACAATTAATTATAATAATTGTTCTTACTCTAATACAAACAAATAACAAAATCAAACAAAACAGGATGATGAACCCTAAAGAAGATAATATCACTCTAGACATATTTTAAATAAAGATAAATGTATTAGGTATATTGAAAATTTACCCATAATTACTTTCAATGCTTAATATATTATACAAAAAATTGTTATCTTAATAAATTCATTTTTTTATTTTCTCTGTTCAATGGCTCTTATATATTTAAAGGGTTGTGACATACAGTCATTTGTTATTGGCCTTGAAGAAGGATGAAAAGTCATTTGTAAAGTCGGCAATTTGCCAGATGTATAAAGTACAGGAAATGACTTTGCTGCCAATATCATTAGTTAAAAGTTTCACCAGTATTTTATCAATAAAAAAATACAAAATATGCAACCTGTTAACATATCAACTTAATGTTCCTACAAATTACTATCATTAAAAACATAAAACAAAAGCAAGTGTACGTTGACCTATAAATAGATATTAAAAACAGGGAAGGGACAATCTATAATACAATTTTCTATCACTTTTTATTTTATTTTAAAAAGTAGGTTTCAATGCAAGTAAAAACTGAATACTGTTCTACTTGAAGAACAATTACTAGTGGTGACTATCTATATAGTTACCACATGACATAATAAATAAATCTTCTGCAAGATATACCAATGAAAGTGATAAAAGGTAAGGTAAGGTTTTATCATCTCTTTTTTTTTAATCTGGTGTCACCGGCATGAACTGCTAAGGTTATTAGCCTTGTGTTCTGTGTAGGCTTTGTTACTGTTTCCCAGCACCACTTTAGGAACACCATTGTTAATTTATTAAATTAAATAAAAATCCCTGCCACGCCCTCTAATCTCTATTATTATAGTTTGCAAATTTGGACATCATAATTCTGTAACCATTTACATATATGTGAGGTTTGGATGTTAGATTTAAATTTTTTAATTAATTGTTTATCAATATCAAATTATTTTATTATTTAGGATTTTATTACTATTTAATGACTGATACGTATTCTTTATAATTGTATTATGTTTTAATGGACTCTGACCTGTAAATAAATAAATAAATAAATAAATAAATAAATAAATAAACCAAAAAAATAAGACATTGATGACACCTTAATATTAAGAATACATACAATTTTCGATTGGTATCACATTAATGGATCAAAATAAGATACCAAATCAAGTTTTTAGGTACCTGCCAAAAAATATAAAAAATGTATTTGTACTTAACATTTTTCAGTACAAAAATATAAACGAAAATACAAGAATTCAGTTTTTCCTAAATAACTCTTAAACCAGTCCTGTGATAATTGTAAAAAGAACGTTTTATAGATAGTTTTGGTAGGTATAACAGCATAATTTGAATTTGCACAGATTAGAGAATGTATTAAGGAATCAAAATAATTTAATAAATGCAGAAATTTAAGAAAGAATTTGCTTTTAAATATGATAATACATATGTATTGCTATTGTTTTTATTTAATCTTGGTTTAAGTAAGTAATCACAAATATAATTTAAATTTAGAAACATTTGCCTAGAAAGAGGTAAGTGAATTCCATTTTAAAATATAAATAAATAAAACTAAAATGGTTATAAACAAATAATCCAAGTTAATTGTAATGAAAATGATCTAACTGGAAAAAACAAGGAGAAAGTTAATAAGAAAATTAACAAAAAACCAGCTGTTAAATATGTCTCGTTCATATTCTGAAAATAACATTTTCATAATCTATTAGGGGCTGAAAATTGGACTAGTGTTTTGGATCAGACATGTCCCAATTTGCGGAAATTGTTTTATCCCAATTTGAAACTGCCTTTCCAAAAAAGTTAGTTACACAAAGACCCGAAACTAAAAAATAATGTGTCATTATATAATACTCTTGCTAAGCACGATCGACGATATGTTGAAATTAATAAAATGTTAAATAATACTTATAAGCTTAGGTTAGGTTAGGTTCTAAGCAATACTATAATAATCTCATTTTAGGCTCTGAAAATAAGACTAAAGCTACCTGGGAAGTGATTGGGCAATTGCAAAAAGGGAACAACAAATCAAATAACCACCTTATATGATCAGGGTAACCAGATAAGTGATTCTGACTTGGCAAATAAATTTAATATTAATTTCATTTTTTTATTTAAACAATTAACAAAAAATTAACAATTAAAAATAAACTCTTGACAATAATTATTATACATATTTTATAAACTATTTAATTTAGTAAATGTTTAACATGTCTTCTTGCTTCTTGAATACAAAAATATAAATAAGAGGTATTTTTTGCTCAAGCACATCTCTAGGCATACCACTGATTTTTATATGTGTTTTTTGTACAATAACTTCTGATCTACTCTTAGTTTTGTTGATATATTAAGTCCAGGACGGACGAATTGCTCTAGAAATTCAGTTAAAAAATTGTAAATAGCTTGTTAACTAAGAAAGATACAAAGTTCATTTTGCTATAAAAAAAAAAATAAAAATTCATAGTTCTTTTTGATTTTAAGATCGATAAAGCAAGTTTCTTTATGACAGAAAAATATGGGGTTAAAAGGTACCCAACCCCCCCACTTTTTTAAAATTGTCACTTTAATTTTTTTTCTTTTTAGAATATTGGGCCTTCAAATCTACCTTTTTGAAACACCCTGTATATTAGAAACATGTACTTTCATTCATAAGAACAGATCAATATATGTTGCCAGCGAGTATAACACAAGAAACAAAAGCCAATTACTGATACCTAGACACCGTACGGCACTTTTTGAAAAGAATATATGTATATGGGTTGCAAATTTTATAATATCCTTCCAGAGGGCATAAAGAACAACAGTAATATCTTCACTTTTAAGTCTAATGTAAAAAAACTTTTATTAGAAAAAAACTGCTATTCCATAAAAGAATATTTTAGGTATATAATAATTCATGTTTTTGTTAGGTATGTTTTTTTTTTCTAAATTTTTTTTAGATATATAATTACCATAACATGTTTCACGATAAACATTGTATAATTTTTTTGTACAATTTTCTTATAAGGTGAAATAAATAAATATAATAATAATAAATAAAGACAGTCATTAAGTATGTGTAGTAAAACCCAACAATAAATAAAATGTGGACAGAATAAGCAAAGATGTACTAGTCAAAAAATCAAATAAAGTAGGATATAAAAGAGAAGGATACTAAAACAAATAGATAGATAAACACAAATGTGAAACTTTATGAAGGTATAAGTAGGTACTTTTTGTCAATTAACTCTCAGAGACTTAATATCTACAAACTGAATCAATCTTAATTCTACAGGTGGTATACTGTTTTTTTTTTTTCAATTCAGTGTCTTCTGCATCAACTACTAAGGTTATTAGCCTAGTTTTCTGTGTAGGCTTTGTCACTATTTCCCAGCGCCACTTAACACCACTATTAAAAGTAAATTGTTTTACAACTAAAAATAACCAACACAATTCAACATTCCATTAAGATAATAAAAATACCAAACAAAATGATTAAAGAAATATTCATTTGTATAGGTATCTGTACATTTGAGGTAAAAAATCTTATCTCCAAATCTCTTACAGATTTGGACAAAGTTAGAAATAGAACTTTTTGACCTTTTTGAACAAGATTTTTTCTAAACGTACTTACATCAAAAACTAGTACTACCACTAAAAAAATATAAGATTTAGGTATTTTAGTAAATGCACTCCAGTCAATTCAAAACTGGAGATACAATTCTTTACTTCATATATTTTCCACGATATTTTCTTTTATTTAATTAATTTAAGTAAGGTTCTATTCTAAGCCACAAATACATCACAAACAAGCTCTATATTTAGAGCTTCTGTGATTAGTCATGTTTATTTTACCATTGTTTAAATTTACCAGTGTATTACTGTTTTTCTTAAGACTCAATTCTTTAAAACTAGCAAGTTGTCACATAGTTCTGGCATAAACAAATAAAACACATCCCTGTAAGTAAACATACCCTTAAAATTAAACCCTAGTAGAGGTAGGTTTACCTGTGACATTGTATAAACAAATAACATCCTCTGCTCTGTACATTACATTGATAGTGAAAGGTGTATATTATTCTGGACATTTCATGAACTAGGTGGAGCCCTAATACACCATGGTGATGAGTTAAAACACTTCATATTCTATTAATTCGTTTATCTGCAATGTTTTTGTTATAATAAGACAATTCCAAATTTATTAGGAATAAATTAACACAATAGCAAATAAAATCAATTTTAAAATAAATATGGGAGGGTTGTTTATAAGTATTATGCCAATAGACAATAATTGACCTCTATTTTTTACATAAATAATAAAACCAGCTGTTTTTATAAATAACTAAAAAATTAATTGATAAAATTACCTTGAAGATTATTTTAGAGGACTTTTGCGAAATATTATGACAAATGAACTAATTTTTACATGGTTATTATTTAAAAAGGGACATTGCGTTTATTATTTTATAGAAATGTATAGTTTGAAGTTTGTTTTCAGCTACTTAATCATAAGCATTAAATAAAAACTTACCACCGCCCTGCATCATTTTGTAAAATTTGGATTCTATGTGAAGCTGTGGATGTCTCGTTTTTATACATTCTAGTTTGATTGCTACTTCTTCTCCTGTTGAAATATTAGTTCCTGGAACAAGACATAACGATATTTGATTTTTAAGTCTTCACCTGGGCACCTATTGTTTACAATAAAAAATGTCATAGAAAACGTCAACAGTTACCTAAATAAATGTCTCCAAAGGAACCCGATCCTATTTTTCGACCCAGTCTATATTTGTTGCCCACTCTTAACTCCATTTCTTCTTAAAAAAATACAATTTTACACAACAAAAGACATGAAATGTAGTCGTCTTTAGGCGGCCATGTTATATTAGCCAACTATCATAGGAAATTTGACATAATCTAGCTGGCTTATTTGCACTTTTCACAAACACTACAACTTTAAATGTATGAACAGTTCGAGGACTTTTTTTAACAGAATATATCACAGATATGTCATTATTTTACAACAATTACATCGAACCTTACGATTTTTCCTTTCATAGTACTCAGGATGACACACTCCAGAAAACTGAGAAATAGATGTGTCTAGTTTTCAAACGAACTGTAACGATTATACGCTATCCACCATAACACTATCTCTCTCTGTTATCACACCTTGAACGCTCACATTTATCAACGATCGTCTTTGATTACTTCGAAGAAGTCACTCTTCAGGTAAAATATCGAACTACAACCTGAAGTAGCCAATGGGAACGTTCCGTTCTAAAAAACCTCGCAATTTTAAATTTGTAAAATTGAATATTGGTATAAATAAAAATTACAAAATGTATTTTAATTTTATAATTGTTCTATCTTATGTAAATAGAAATTATTTAATAATCATTAAAAACAATTGTCCCTCTACAAGCATCTAATTATATTTTTTGTGAGCAGAGTATACTTATTAATAATAAATAATAGAAATCAAACACACCACACTTTTTTTGTATTATTAGAATATCGATATGACGGAACCACGTGTTAAACCTTGGGTTGCTGTCTCATTCAATCTTTTATTGACACAATTAATTAATATTATAGTTTTAATGTAAGCAGTATTGCCTAGGTACTTGAATATAAAAAAATGAGAAAATAAATACCTACCTATATCTCTTCAAAGCGGTCTATACTGTAATTCTATTTTTTTTATAATTAAATATTTATCATAATTTGCGCACCGCTAGAAATAATAGCAAAGAATTAAACAATATTATATACTCAGATTTATTATCATTATCTTCTGTATGAGATTTTTTGTTCTAATTCCGGTATGGTATTTTTTGGTTCACCCATCTCTAATACCAATATAACAGTTACATAGATACAAATCGATTGAGTGAAGATAGGTACGAATATGAATCAAGTAATATGAAGTTAGATATGCATATTTTCCAGTGGCGTAGTTTGTTTTATACAGTGTGAGATTTAGGCAACGTTAAGGCAAAAACGCCGAGATACGTCAAATTTTAAATTTAGTTATACTATTATATTGGATAATCATCGCTGTGACGATGAAGTCCTCCATTATTTTAAATAGGAACCTATAATATACTCATGTATATTTTATTTTAAACCAAATTTTTATCTTGTTGCATCAATGAATTTAAATTATATGAAATTTTTAGGAATGGGAAGGATATGAAATAAAATACAGTTGAACACACTAAAATATATTTATTGCAAAAGTAGATATATACAATAATCAATCTTGAATTCGCTATACATTATTTTATGTATGGGTACTTCTTTTTACTTGCTTTTACAAATTTTAAGGGGGATAGGGGAGGGGCGATAGCAATCACAGTCAATTCTTTTGTTTTATTGGTTGAAAACTTTACATTTTTCTAGGGGTGCACGTGCGCATATGAACGAACAGCGTCTGCGTGCACTAGGCCACAGAATAGGCAATGGACTGCTTAGCAGTATTTCTTTCACGCATGGTCCTATTACACCTTGTCCATTTCATTTTGAAAAATAGGCCTGCGTTGCAAATTTTGTATCTGTATAATTGAAATGATTTACTCTTTTTAATAAATATAATTTATTAGTAGAATTTGTGGGTTAAATTTTATGTGACATCACAAACTTGAAGAATTACTTCAAATATTCTTTATATGTGTAAATGTTTTTGGGAAATTGGAATATAACGAACATTAATAATTATTAGGTAAATATTTGGCTTCTCAGGAAGTTTTCGACGGTTTTTTTACGTTTTGGGATCCCCTGAATCCGTTTTGACTATTTTCGCGATGATGTCCGTGAATGTGTCTGTATCCTCGATAATTCATGAACGGATACAAAGAAAATCACCAAATTTTAAACTCAAGCTAAATTCCGGCCTCCAGTGAACTGATTTTGGGCAGAGTCGGAACATCTGGGGGGGGGGGGTACTTTATGGGTATTCATTTTTATATTTTATGGAATATATGTTATTTACGTTTGGAGAAGAAAATTCTTTAAATAAAAGTTACTTCTAATATTATTATCTATAATTTTTGTTCTATACAAAATTTTCCTAAAATGGTCCGTATTCGAGAAATTTGACAAAATTTACAAAAAAAAAAATAAATTTTATAAAAATTGTTCAAATAAAAGTTGTTTGTAATATAATTCTCTACAATTTTTATCCTATACATAATTTCTCTAAAATGGACCGTATTCGAGATATTTGAGAAAATGTAAATTTTGAAGAACTCAAAAACGGACAAAGAAAAAAACATTAAATTTTAAACTTAAGTTTTATTTGGGCCTGACGTGAAATGATTAGATTTTGGACAAAGTCGGAACATCTGGCGGAGTACTTTATGGGGAGGCCGTTTTTATATTTTATGGAATATACGTTATTTATGTTTGGAGAAGAAAATTGGTCAAATAAAAGTTACTTCTAATATTATTATCTATAATTTTTGCTTTATGTCAAAATTTCCTGAAATGGTCCATATTCGAGAAATTTGACAAAATGTGCAAAATTCTGGTTTTTATGAAAATTGTTGAACTAAAAGTTGTTTGCGATATCGATTTGCGATTTTGTTTACACATGATTTTTCTAAAATGGACCGTAATGGAAAAATTGTGGGAAAAGTGCTAAATTTAAATTTTTCAGTATTTTCGTTTTCAATGAATATCTATAGAAAAATGTTTCGAGTTAGATGTATCAGGAAAATGTATATATTTAGTTTAGCCTCTAAACATTTATAGAGGTGATGCAATCGGTTGTACAAAATAACCGGAAAAAGCCTATAATAACAAGATAGGAAAGTCATGTGTTGGACATATCAGATTTTTTTATCATAAAGGAAGGGTAAAAAAATATCCGATATGTCCAATACATGATTTTCCAATGAAGTTATCAAATATATTGAGTACCATCCATTCAAAACGTGTTTAGAATTTGAATTAAATATAAAAAAATTCTGGATAAATTTTATACGAATGAATTTTTTATATCTTCAATAGGACGAAATAGAGAAAATTCGAATTTTCTGTAATATGATCCATTTTAGAGAAATCATCGATAAGACAAAAATTATAGAGAATGACATTAAAGACGAGTTTTCTTCTCCTGTCATAAATAACAAAGATATAGAGCAGACCGAGACAAATGAGCGATTTTGATAGTTGACTTTCACATGCCATTTCTAAAAAACTTAAGGAATTTGAAGGTGTTAAATATTCCGTATACTTAGAATTTTAGGCACCTTATTCATAACGTTGTTTTACATTGCTTATTTTTAATTAGGTTTTATACAATAATTGTTTATATTATTCACACTTATCCCAAATCGGGAAAGTGTCAATTCAGTAAATTCCTCTTTATATTTTTTTTTTTTGATTGAGTTATCTAGACAGATATAGCAAAAATGGTCAAAACAAATTCAGGGGACCCCAATACATAAACATTCTTCTAAAAAATAATACTGGTTACTGGAATGCATAAATAAACAAAATAAAACAAATTATTTGTAATAAAAAAATTTATTCACTGTAGTGATGTTCTGTCACGTGACCATCAATAAAATTTTAATAAAACGTGAATACAATAAGAATAATACAAAACACTAATAAAATTTTAAGGCCATAAGTTCATTTATTTTTGTTAATAGAAAAATATGACTCTCCAATATACAGCGGCGCAATATTTATAATGTCTATAATCAGACGATTCGTATTTTTAGAACAATAAAAATGACCACTATAAAAGACGTAAATATAAAAAATAGTTAAAAAGTGTTTTCATTGTCTTAAAATTAATTTACATGAAAATATGGCATTCTGTATATTAAAGTTTCAAAAAAGAACTTCATGCTCACAGTCACTCAAAAACCTCCACCATTTTTTTTTGTTTTGAAAAAAGAAAGCTGCTTCATCTTTCACCACAGTCGCTTAAAATTATGCATAAAGTAAATAACAAATTATAAACATAAAATCATTCAGACGTTTCAACTCTTTTAAATAACAATTATTACTTAACTGTGGCCAAAGATTTAATATATAACTTTATAGCAACGCAAAAATTGGCCTTTCGAATTGATTCACAGTATTTTGAGACTTCTTAGTAATTAAAATTCGTTAATATCTTATTATAGGCGTTGTTGCTGTAGAGACTAAGATTAGACGATTATCAAATTAAATAATCAATTATTTTCAAATAATCGATAATGGATTATTTTCCAGAGGGTCCCTCGAGTGTAAAAAAAAATCAAATCCCCTTGTACTTCTAAAACCAAGCGAACTGTGAACATTTTGTTTAAGACATCATGTGTATTACAAAAAAGGAACAGTGTCACAAAAATCGCTTTCTTTTATTGGTTCTAACAACAAAGAATAAAAAAGCTAATTAAAATATATTGTTTCAACATTTTACATTATATTTTTTTTATTTTAAAAGCAAGTTAAATGTTTCGTTTATAAATTACAAAAAAAAAACAACTTATTTTTTAGCATAATTTTCAAAGAAATTTGTTGCCCACAACACATTTTTTATTAGATTGAAAAAATCTAATTTTTTTTTAATTTCCTTTCAAATCGATTATTTGATTAATTGGTCAGTAGATTATTTCAATTATTCGATTAATCAAAATCCAATAATTATCTTTGAAAACAAAATCGAAAATAATCGATTTTTCTAAAAACAAAGTTGTTCTTTTACTACACTTACAAAAAAATGGTTGATGCCTTACGGCATTTTTATTTGTTTGCTAGTTTAAGTTGATATTAAATATTTGCTTACTCCTCAGGGTGTTTTGAACTATAATTTACCCTGTATAATTAAAGTATAGTAACGTATTTAAAGAAGTCAACATTATAATCAATAAAATAGAATAAGAAATAAAAAATTTGCAAAAGTAAATGTATTTGTATACATAAAAATTAAAAAAATTGCTCTATTAAATGTATATTTATTAAAATATAGTACGATAAAAAACGTGTTATATCATGTCTCAAAATACTGGAAACCAACTCCATCCAAGCTACTCTGTAAAAAAATTTGTTCGACATTGTGATAACCCTGATCATTAATTTATTAATACAAAACGTTAATATAAGTATAAAATTTTTATTAAAATCTATTTTCTAGATTTCAAACCTTGACCAGTATTTCTTGTCAACATTCGTTTCGAAAAGAATAATGGTCCCGACTTTTGTTTGCTTAAAAACTAATCTAAGTACACGACACAATACTTGTTTTTTTTTTTTTTTTCGTTTTTGGAAATAGAAATATAAATATACGAGTTATATAATTAATAAAATAATAAAAACATTGTAACTAAAAACTATAAATTCGTAAATTAATACGTTATAAAAAAAATATGTAGAAAGGAAATACTGATCATGTTGATATGGCGTATTATTGACCGTTTTTTCTTTTGACTCTCTTTTGACATTAAGAATCGTCTTCAGCCAATGCCAGAGGGGCTCGAAGTAATAAGTCACTCACTGTGATTGCTCTAATCTGAAAAAAATTAACCTTTCATTAATAAATTGAAAAAGATCGACATAAGCTTAATACAGATTTTTAGTTATCTGCATTGGTGTCATTATTACAATGTTAGTTTTGTCCACAACACCGAGGCAAAAAAGATGTAAACGCTTTTATTTTAGTTTGTAAGATTCACAAATCGTAGATTTCTTAATTTTTAGTATCTATAATGATACATCATACTCTGAAGGAAATCCAAATTGTCATTTCATTTAGAAAAGAATGAAAACATGAAATCGTTTAATTTTTATGATACAGATTTTGTTTTATTCTTTTTGGCTGACGATCTTATTTACTTTAGAAACATAAGTAGATAGTAAGACACTTTACTCCACTTTTATCAATTTTTCCTTAGGTCTGAGGAAATTTGTAGTTTAGATCTGGCAATACCGCTCCGCATGATTGAATGGTAAGTACGACTGATACCCAGAAATTTGACGAAAACGGCGACACCGTTTATCCTTTAGACAGAAAAGTGGATAAAAGTTCATACAATTTAGAAGGCATGAAACATCAATACTTTTAAATAAGAGATTTATCGATCACTGGAGAAGCGGTGTTGCCGTTTTTTGTCAAGTTTATATGTAATTATCATGCATACTTACTATTAAATTATGCAGTTCGGTGTTTCCAGATCTACTATACAAACTCCAGATTTGAGAAAATTTGTAGAATAGATCTGGCAGCACCGAGCTGCAAGAATCAGTGGTAAGTACGATTGCTGGAGATACGGTATATTAGCGTTTTTTTGGGTAATTATCAGGCGTACTTACTATTGAATTATGCAGTGCAGTGTTTCCAGGTCTATTCTACAAATTTCTCCACTTTTATCGATTTTCCCCTGATCTGAGGAAACTTGTATGATTCAATGGTAAGTACAACACAGAAATTTTACAAAAAATTGCAACATCGCTTATCTACATATCAACAGATCCCTTCGTCAGATAACAGGATGAAGGGTGAACTCTATTCAACTTAAACGCAAGTAACGCTTAATTTCAGTAGCCCCTTGACCATAGCACATTGAGCTAGAGGGTACGGAAACATTCGAAACCGTATCGCTGGGCTGACCAATAGCAGTCGGGCGTGTGCGTATCATGCGTTACTTGCGTTTAAGTTGAATAGAGTATAGAAGGGTGAATGATTTTAAATAAGGAGTCCATTGATTGCTATAAAAGAGGTGTTGCCGTTATTTGTAAAGTTTCTGGGTAATTATCAGTACTTAGTATTGAATCACGCGCCAGATCTACTTCATAAATTTTTCCAGATGTGAGACTACACTTTTATCGATTTTTCCCAATTTGATAAAAATTGTAGATTAGATCTGGCAAAACCGCACCGCTTGATTCAATGGTGAGTACGACTGATACGCAGAAATTTGACAGAAAAACGGCAAATCGATCAATAGCCAAGTTTGTGTTATGCAGTGTTGCCAGATCTAGTCTACAAATTTCCCCAGATATGGGGGAAAAAGATTAAAGGGGAGTTAATTATCTTCCTATCTACTAACATACCTTTTATCGCGCCATTTTTTCAACACAGGTTCCAGCAAAAATTAATAATTACCCATAATTCCAACATTTTTTAAACCTACAGTACCCGAGAACATAAATTTTTAAAAATGATTTGAATTATAACGTGAAAGAATGAATTTTGTGTAATGTTGTCCACTGAAACTACACTTAATAATCAATAATAAGAATATTCTCAGTAATTTCTAAAAGCGGATTCAACCATTAAGTACAAAAAAATAAAATTGTATGTAGTTATATTTTTACTAATTATTTTTTTTATTAACTACATGCAGTATTTTGGACATACCATTTACATTATATTACCCAATCACCATTATAATACCACAAACCATAAATATTAGTAATAATTAAATAATACGATATTACTAGTCATTAGTAGTTCACTCATAGTGATGTGTTTTGAAGAAATATCTAACCTCTAAATTTGCCGGTGTTCCATCCTCCTGACTTTCTATAACTACAAAGCAACAAAAAACAAGATTTAAAGCCATGAGAAAACAGACAATCATCACAATTTTGTATAAAAATATGGTACTGACAAAGATGTCAATTCAATACATCATTGTATTTCGTTAATGTCAAATATCAGCTAAGTTCTATACAAATTATACAGTGATAGTGTGTTGTCATTTTTTTTTTTTTTTTTTTTTTTTCCGAAACAAAGCAAAGTAACCATGACAACGGAGCTGGCAATTCTGTTAGAGTAATTTAAACTTTAAATGTTTTTATAGGTTTTGTTTTCTTTGAATTTATTTTATTTTATTTAATGAAGAGTCACTCTAGAATGTCACAGACTTTTCCAAAGAACATGTCTAAATCAACTTTTCAAATATGGAAAAGTGTAGTGGACTTGCTCGAAATTAATATAATTAATTGGCTGAATTTCTTGCAAACAAAGGTAACATATAGTTTAAATAAACAAAAAATGACTACTGACTTTTATATTTTTCAATGGTTTGCTGTAGTCTGAGATATAGCCTCAATATTTGAGAATTTTCATTTTCTTATTTTCGTTTCATCTTAATACAGGGTCCGTGTTATTAATGCAGGATCCTAAATAATTACAGAGAAATTATATAAAAGAAAATAATCTAGATCACTACTCTTGATATGTTACAGTTATTCTGTTGAAACTATAAACATTTTAAAATATATTCTTATGCTGATGATATTCCTGGAAACATGGTACGCAACTGGTGAATTTAAAAATAATTTTTACACCTTCGATGTTTCAGTTTATTCTGATAATTTTTTTCATATTGAGAAAACGATTTAGGCATATTATCACAAAATGGGGTTTAGGAGGTCTCTGTGGTATTTGTAGATTTTTCATTATTTTCAAACGGAAATCAGACAAGGACATTTTATTTTGGCTATTATCATTGCAAAGTGTATGGATGTTAAACAGAAAGATTTGTAAAATATAAATGCTAAGTTTTTTGGACCACCGTAAAGTTTTATGATTACTCAGATATTAGGCTAGAATTTGGTCGTTTCCATCAACTCCTCCCATATTTTTGTTCTATTTAGCTATTAGAAAAGGCTTCGATTGTAAATTCCCTAGTCTTGCTTGGACATTTTGCAAAGGATAATGAATCTTGTCAATCTTATTATTGAAATCGTTGCCATGGTAACGTATTTTGTGTAGTTATTTTGTTTCACAACTATCACGGTCCATTCATATAATTTCAAATGAAATTTAAAATAAATTGTGATGAATTTGTGATGATAAAGACTAAAGGAACAGTCTTATTTAAATTATTTATTAACATTGTTACTATTTTAATAAATTTTAAGTGTAAATTGTGAAATTATTTTAATAGTTAATTTTTAAAATCGTTATAGGCCATAATGTAAGTTTTTCCATATCGTCGCCCTCATCACGAAGTGGCATAAGTGACAAATAGTATATTTTACAGCAATAAAACGAAAATACGTAATTCTCATATCGTTACGCCTTATTGCAGATAGGGCACAGAAATAATATGCTGTATTGCATGCACTATTGAGGTTGTAGATGTGCCACTTCGTGAGATGATAAAGAAGGTCAAGACTAATCTGCACAAAAAAAGGTTTTTTTTTTTAATTTTTGTTGGTTAGGTCACTTCGTGATAAGGGCGACGATATGTATTTTAACTTAGATATATTTATATTGATACACTTTGTACCTAATTAATTAGTTTGTGACTAAATAAATTATTTATTTCACAAAATGATTAACTTAAGACTGTTTCTCGATCTTGAAAAATAGAAAACATATACCGAACTAGCAAAAAATGACCAACAAAAAAACATGATAAAACGAAAACAACAAAAAAAGCAACACTCACTAGCCTCTTGACCTGTCGACGTGGTGGTCGTAGTATTCGACGTGGTGACGCCGTCTTGCGTCGTATTACTGGTCAAAACGGTCGTCACGGTTTTCGTGACTGTCATATTGGTAAGCTTTCTCGTGAGATCCTCACCTGAACCGAGATGATCCTTGACGCTATCTATGGTTATGTCTCCTACGCTGCTGGACACCGTTACGTTGTGGAGAGTTTCGTCTCCGTTTGTTCTTATGTCATCTGACTGGAATTAAATTAAATAGCAGTGAAATAATTATAATCAATGAAGTTGAATAATATGGATATAATGATGAAATGGCATTAAAAAAATTATACCTCCTCTCCCTCCCTTAGAAGTCTTGTCATAGTTGCTAAAGAGCTGTCAAAATGTTTGCAAATCTGTATATTTTGGCGGTGTCTCCAAATCAGTATATTTTATTTGTTTTGTAGAAAAAGCATGACTAAAGTGAGCTAAATTAAATTAAAAACAATAGTAATCACATGGATTAAGTTTTCATAAGACTATTGCTGTGTAATGTCAATAATACCTACTTTAATATGATTTTCTGATAAAAATGACAGATGAACTCTGTTATTTTAAACAATAATTTTTCAAATGGTGTTTTATATAAATATAACTTACTAATATTAACTTAGTAGCTTATTCGATCAGTGGGAAGTCATGATAGGGGAAGTAGGTAAAAACAATACAAAAAGCAACCAGAGTTGCTGTGTTGAAAATTGTGAAAATACTAGCAAAAAAAAACAGTGTAAATTATAAAAAAATTCAGTAGCAAAGTGAAAATTAAATCAAAGAAATAAATGGATAGGTGTACAACAACAAGAAAAATTACCTTTATTTTTGTAATAATAACAGTAATACTGAAAATAGTAGACATCAGAAACTTGAAAGGTTTTAAATAAACAATAAATTATCATTTTACGATGTTTTTCAACATCCCTTTAATCTAAAATGTTTAGCAAGAACTAGATTTCTGCCTTTGGTTATTGTATGTGGCTGGAATGAAATTTTGTGACTTACTGATAGAAAACCAGTTTTAATCATTCATTCTATGTTTTCTTTCGAACAAAAATGAAAATATAAATAACAATACTTCTGTTTATGCATTTTAACTTCACGCTATTATTTAATGGTAGTTTTTTTATTTTGACAGAATAGGTTAATTCTCCAAAGTCAACTTATTAAACTTAGGCAACTTCTCATACATTTTTCCATAAATACTGTTGCCTGCCTATATTTTATTATGGATTTTTATTAATTATACTAATTATTTTTTTAGCTTAAGAGATAAAAGTATATAATAATAATAATAATAATAATAATAATAATAATAAATTAAAGTTTTACTTGTTTTCCAAATTCATATACTTTTATTAAAACTAACATATATACTTTTTGTTAGATTTGCTCACTAAACGCTAAATACTTTTTATGTTTATGTTAAGATTAGTTTTAGTTGCCTAATTGGAAAGAGGCCATCATGTCAGTTGTCATAAAACAAGTGTTATAAAAAATGACACATGTCATGTCCAAAAGGTAACAAGAGGGTCTAGGTTAAAAAGGTTGTATGATGTTAAAAAAGAATCCAAGTTAATCTGAATAATAAAGAAAGTAAGTAATACATATAAAAGGTTATGGGCCCAGCGATACTGACAAAGTATTATTAATTCAACAGAAGATTAAATTAGCCATAAAAATAAAGAATACAAAATGTTTTAAAGCGTATGTTTTACGCATTTTTGTTTTCTATTTATGCACAGAAATAAGCCTGTAAAGTGGTTCTATTACAGCTACAACACAACGAAAACTGTGAGAAAATTTCAAAATTTTAATGCCACGGTACTGACATTATTTCCACGGTACTGATTATTTTTTTTTACCAATCGAAATATTGGTATAAAATTGCAATAAAATTCACTGCATTATGCAATAGATTGTAGTTATATGAGGTACATTTTATATTAAAAAATGAATTTTGATAGAAATTTATATATTTAATTTCAAAAATGAGAATCGAACATGCCACGGTACTGATATTTCGAGTATATTTATATGCAGCTTAAAAAAAATTGCGAAGGTTTATGATCTAATTTATAATATCGGTTGTAAAATACCTCTAAATTTATATTAATAACTTTTTGATGAGGAAAACTTATGCTAAACGATGAATAAAATACTGGACATAAAAAATCACAGTTATCCGACAATCACCCATACCTTTTATGTTTATGTTAAGATTAGTTTTAGTTGCCTAATTGGAAAGAGACCATCACGTCAGTTGTCATAAAACTAGTGCTCTAAAAAAATGTCATGTCCAAAAGGTTGCAAGGTCTTTTTTGAGAAGGTTAAAAAGGTTGTATGATGTTAAAAAAGAATGCAAGTTAATCTGAATAATAAAGAAAGTAAGAATATAAAAGTCGTTAAAATATAAAACTTTTTAAAAATTCTATTAAAAATTGTATTGTCATTATACACAAATAGTCCTTTAGTACATAAATGAATTGGCGCTGCTGTCACGCACGGAGCGAATAATCTTCCATCCTAAACATTTTCACTCGCCACATCAATGGAATTTGTTTAATAAGAAAATGGCAATGTTTACCATTCTTACCTAATTCCTGCACCAACCACTAAAAGTGTCACGATGTCGAATATGTTATCCCGTTTAGGAATAGAATGAATTTCAATCAAGTTTGTCCACATAAAAGATCAAAGCAGTTTTAGGCTCCAGCTCTCCAACTAATCTAGCTAATAAAAGCTCAGACAAGACTGTATTTATTTATTTCACCTTATTTTAACTAAACCCGAAAAACAAAACACCAAAACATTATAGCTATCATAAATAAAAGACAATTGATTTTTTTCACACTTACCTTATCTGCCACACTCCCCTCTTTACTTTCGGCATTCCCATTAACTAAAGGGACTTCCGCGGATGTTTCTAGCACCTCGTTTTCCCTAGTCGTTGAACCGGTTTCAGAAGTGGCGTCCTCTCTGGATCCCGCCGGCAATGGAAGGTAGCATCTGGCCATGGTTATGCTGCTGGTCGCCAGCGACAACCTTTGAAGTTCCGACGAGGAATGGAGGTACAATGCTTGGGCGTCCTTGGTGAACACAAGCGAAGATATACCACTGTAAAATAGAAATAAGTTTATAATAATCAATGATAAACAACAATCCTGAATAATTATTTTACTTGTTTGGTTTTCCTAGTGGTGTGCCAGATGATAAAGTAGGAAATTGTTGAAAGAGATAAAGGACTTTTCTTTACCCTTATATTAATCAGAGAATTTGTTAAAAACACATTTACAAATGGATCACGAATAATAAAATTTGTTCCATAATCGTTTTGTCGATAAGTGAGAAATTTGCGAAAAGAAAAGTTTAATATGTTTCAAAAGTGAAAGAAAGTAAATACTAAAAAATCTAATTTTTCTCTGTATCTTGTTAGACTCAATAAATTTTTGAATTTCCAGAGTTCAAATAATGATATAAGAAACTAAGATTATATCATCATTTGTTGGGCATACCAGAAACGCTAATTATTGGATACACCAAATCAATCTTGTAATTATACTAGTTAAAGCAGTCGATTATTCACTGCTGTTTTACCATGATCAATACATTTTGCGATACTACTGATATGATACTGGTATCGATACTTTTCTTTCGATACCGGGTAATTTAGTACCTGATACTTTGCTTTCGATACTTTACCTATATCAATACTACTTTTGTTTCGATACTACTACTTCCGTTTCAATATTTTACTAGTTTTGATATTACAATACATTCAAAAGGTGTATTGTAGGATCACTTTATGGTATAGCATGTCGGCTTACCCTATGACTTTTTTTTTTTGATTGTTTTACACTCTTCCAATATCGGTATCGACACCTTCACTCCGATACCCTTTCGATATCAGTATCGATACTTTACTGGTATCGCAACATCCTTGTACATGGCCTAGTCGAAAAGAAGGGTTAATTAGAATTAAATAAAAATACTGTTCTATACTTGTTCATTAAAAAAAATTATTTTGGTCCAATTTGCCCTTCTTCAGTAGGGAGGAAATGATGGTTTTGTTAAGCTGAAAGACCTCATTCTTCACTATAAACCACTAAATATATTTAATTTTCCTTTAGAGCCTAGACTTACTTTATATCTTCTCGTTTGATAGCCGCCGCATTTAGCTGCCTCTTAAGGTCTGGAATGCTGAGAACTAAACAGTCACCCATGTTTGTCAAACAAAGTAAATCTACCTCGGAATGTTTCACCTCGTCCAATTGACACGAAAAGTTGGCGAAGGCCATCCTCCTTACTCTCGCACCTAAAAAGAGACCGTAAAACAAAACAATTTAAGCCAAGCTAGAGATGGTTGTACGTACCTTCATGTGCGGTCAACTTGTATTTACAATAAGGCTTCAAATTGGGCAGGGTGAAAATCTTAAACTGTTCCTCGGACGCGATCACGACTCTGTGCGCCTGCGTGGTATCCGGTAAGGGCGACACGCCCTTTTCCACCTCTAGAGGTTCCGGAAGCGGCTTGCTGGATCCGTCCAATACCGCGATGCCTATCACCGGCGCCCTGTGTTTCAATTGGATCTCTTTGGCTAGCTGGCAGGTGACGTCGTCGGTTTCTCGTTTCGAGGAAGACGGGACTGTTATTGTGAAGGCGTACACGGTACCGCTGTTCGTAGCTGCCCAAAGTGTCGGATTTGTATTTTGTACTGTAAGGTAACAAAGAAAATAAATTAATATGGCGAGTTCATAGCCAACATATAGATACTATTATTGAAGTAGGAAAATTTAATATACAATAATATAATAATAGGACAAAATATGGTATGCTTAAAAAGTAAAAAAGCTCACTATCTAGAGATAGCTTAGCTTAGTTTTTAAATAAAAATATTACATCTAATAATAAAACATTTTATATGGCTCCTGTTTCAGATGAGGATGTTTTAAAATTAATACAGTCTTTATTTAAAAAACACTATTTCAGTTGGCACTGATGGCTTAAATAATGAGTTAATTAATAAGTGTGTTGCTCTATTGACTAAACCATGGAGTTTTTTTTTTTTTGTTGAATTTATCAACTGAGAAAGGTATTTTTACAGATTCTTTAAAACTAGCTAAAATAGTTCGCATTTACAAAAAGGAAGATCCGAATGATATTAATAACTATAGACCAATAAGTATCTTGTCAACTTTTTTCAAAGTATACGAGTTGAATATCAAAAATCAATTATGTAATTTTTTCACAACATGATTATACTTCAAAAAAGAGTACAGAGACTGCATTGACAGAGTTCCACACTAAAATCGTAAGAATCATGTAATGGGTTTATTTATTGATTTTTCTAGAGCTTTTGACTGTGTGGACCATAAACTTCTACTGTTTAAGCTGTCTAAATATGGGGTAAGAGGTATACCACTTGACTTATTGGAATCATATTAATCAAATAGAAGACAAATTGTTCAAGTGAATAATGTTCCTAGTTTGGAGCTGGAAGTTTCACAAGGGGTTCCCCAAGGATCGCTTTTGGATCCATTTTTATTTTTAATTTTTGCCAACGACCTAATCACTTCCTTGAATGCTATTCCTGGAATATACTCAACTTGTTTACAGATATTTTAATTATCGAAAATAATGCAGATGCACCAAAAATACCTACAGAGAGAACATATAATCAAGTTTTATCATGGTCGGAAAAAAAATAACATAAAACTAAACAAAACTAATATAATGTTATTTAATAATAATGAACAATTTATACAAAACCAATTCTTTGAAAACACTAATAATTATATTTGAAGAAAATATTAAAATATTAGGAATTACTATTGATTATGGCATAACCTGGAATTCACATATTGATAACCTGCGTAATAAATTACGAAAAAGTTTCTATAGTCTTAGATTTCTTGCCAATCATCGTAGTAAAAGTACACTCTTAACAGTGTATCATGCAAATTTTCACTCTCATTTGAAATATGGCATAATTAATTGGGGTATCTATTCTACCAAGCAGAGTTTTTGTTCTTCAAAAATATGCCGTAAGAATTATTGCGAAACTAAGAATAAGAGATTCATGTAGTTTTTAAAAAAATTAAAATTCTGACACTGGCTGGAGTATATATATTAGAAGCATGTACTTTCATTCATAAGAACAGATCAATATATGTTGCCAAGCGTGCTTCTCATGGGTATAACACAAGAAACAAAAGCCAATTACTAATACCTAGACACCGTACGGCATTTTTAAAAAAAATCTAGAGTATATGAGTTGTAAATTTTATAATATCCTTCCAGAGGGCATAAAGAACAGTAATCTCTTCACTTTTATCAGAAAAAAACTGCTATTCCATTGAAGAATATTTTATATAATAATTGTTTTTTTTTTTTTTTTTTTTTTTTTTTTTTTTTAGGTAAATAATTTTATGTATTTTTATAATACCCACGACATGTTTCAAGTTTCTGGCTCTGGCGTGTTAAAAGTATACTGACCTTTGTAAAAGTGGCAAGAGTTAGACATAAATCAGCTAACAAGCACAAATCTAAACGTGAAACATCAAAAGCGTCGCTACTGAGTGTTTTTACTCCCCGTGGTAAAATTGTAAAATAGAGAATAATTCTCATATTAACATGTTTTCTAAACTCACCACTGACTAAAAACGTTCTGGCAAAATATAAACACCTCACAAACGATCCCATGGAATCGTCTGCCGGTCTCGCTTCTATTTGCCTTTCCACGGGTTTCGCTTCCAATGGATTAAAATTCTCTTCCGTAGTTGCAGTCGTCGTTTTTCTGGCAGGAGGCGAAGTAACAGTTTGCTTGGCTTCGTCTTTATTGGCGTTTCGACGCTGCGAACGACCCTTCCTCAGACGTCTGAACGATTCCCTTAAGGATTTTTTGAAGGACTTTCGGCGGGAAATTGGAGTATCGCCGGACCCTGTGAGATCTACAAAACAAAAATATATTTACGTTTTTTACGTGGGTAAAATCCAATCAAATTACCATTTGGATTAAGTGTACATTTGACCAAAATTGGTTTATTTTTGATATAATCGAGTAGAGCGAGCCCATGAGCTGTACCAACGGCGACTAAACCCCAATCGGCTTGGAGGACGCAGCAAGTTATCGCTGCTGGAGGATGTACCTGAAGAACCGCATTTGCCTGGAAACCTCTAGGTTGTGCGATAGTTCCTGAAAATAAAAATTATACATATACCACAAACTGACAGCTGGAAAGTCGGATAGTCACAGAGATGTTAGGTGTATAAAAAATAATTTGTATACATAAAAAAAGTAACTATTAGCCAGATTTATGAAAAATTTGATTTTCTCAACTTATTTAATCAATAGGAGGATATACCTGTTAGCAAAACTTGTTCAAGAGTCTAAAAAACTTCTAAGGTTAAATTTCTTTTTTTCAGATATTTAATTCGGTTTATTTTTAAAAAAAATTTTCTGCGGGACCCTTTTCCAAGAACTGGGTGCACGGTGGAAGGGAGATTGTGTTATTGGTAGATGCTCTAGACATGTGAGACGGTACTTCTGTCACCTGTTAACTCTCGCGTTTTTTATGACGTTTTGAAAATTTATTTATCGCTTTTCGACGGTTTATTACACATAAATAATTTTTTTTATTATTTTTTCTAAACACTATTCATTCCTCCCTACCTCACCACGCACAGGGATTTTTCGTCGGGCGCCATTTTTTTTTTCGGACAAATTTCATATGAGGGATATCCGGACAAAACATCCCGTCAGCGACCCCGTAGGGGTCGCTGCACTGTGTTTAATCAATTTTTATATTATTTTTAGACTGTTTTATTAAATCTGTACTATATCTTTAATCGGATATGTTTTCAATCTGTCAGCGTCTCCGAAGGGGCCGCTGTACAATATTTAATCAATTTTTATATTATTTTATAGTCTGTTTTATTAAATATTACTATATCTTTAATTGGATATATGCTTTCAACCCGTCAGCGTCCCCGAAGGGATCGCTGCAGAATAATGTGTAATCACTTTTTACTTATTATATCTTTAATTAAACATATCTTTTCATCCTGTCCGCGACCTCTACTAATTTTGTCGAAATATTTCCCTTTGCCCCTTCTATTTAAGAGGAAGTAACAGTCGTAATATTATAAATAGTAAACAAATTGGTATGACATAAAATTATATGATCATCAAATTTACTTCTTCCACTAATTCTACCGAAATATTTACCTGCTTTAATCATACATAAAAAACCAACCCAAATAAAAAAAAAATGCGCGTGTTACAACTTTTACTTTCTTTAAATGATCAAGTTTGGTCATAATAACATCGACTGTTTACTACGCTTGAATTAAAAGTGTAAAATATTTAGTGAAATAAAATAACATCTTGTCCTTAAAAATTTGTTTTAAATTTGAAGTAACCATGAAATGCAACCGATAACTCTTGGCGGGAATGAAAATCGATTTTTTACCAAGGTTGATATTGTATATAAAGTTCATACCCTGACCGTCAGAGCAGTGATAGCTTCTAGCATTGTTATATGTATGACCCTGATAATCGCATTCTATTGTAAATCGCAGATAAGTAGAGTTAAACTGTTACATATGGAACACTTAGTGCTAAAAATACATTTTTATTAAAACGGGGATATTTATAATATTTTATAGTATATATATTCATATAATAATTTACCTTGTTTAGGAGACAATTGCGCATGTCCTTTCCAAACGAATCCGTCTCTATCGCTTACGATATTCATCGAAGATACTTTTAGCGGTCCTTCCAGTACTTCCGTGTCGAATTTCGCTATGATAGTTTGACCTGCAGTACCGCTCACAACTAATGTACCAGATAAAGGACACAGAGTAATTTTTTTAACCGCCAATCGAGGATCATCCGAGTACGGATCGAATATACCGATTTTTCTGAAAGGTGGCCATTCGTCTTCTAAGTCTTCAGGGTCGGGATGAACTTCTAAAGAAGAAATAAATAAAATACACATTGTTTGAATGATAATCGAAGTTTTTTATACATATAGGCTGGCTAAATTCGATATAGAACTAAAGTGAAATATACAGGGTGTTCCAACAAGTCGTAGCATATAAAGTTATATTTGATTTTGTATTCCGCGAACCAAATAAATGAAATGTTTTTAACAATAAATTATAAAAGAAACCATAAAAATAACGATTTTCTTATAGGAATTCGTTTATTTACTCGTTAGAAACAAAATACATTATGTAAATTCTAAATATTATCCATATTTCAAAGTGCAAGCTTTAACATTTTTGAAAAATCTATTTAAGATCCTGTCATTGACAGTCAAGTTTTACTTTATATCATAAAAAAAAACAACGACACGAGCTTATGGAAATATCAAAAATTTAATTTGTATGTCAAATTAATCTCGTGAACCACCTTTTATAACCATTACTTAGCCGATCAAAAAGATTAATAGTACCTTCCAAATCTTCTCCCGAAAAAAACTGGGCAGTACTAAATTTGTAGATCAAGGTTAAGGTTACACCACCGGCATCCCAAAATTTAATAGTGCCATCTTCGTGACCTGTAAGGAGTAGTTCCCGCTTCGGAAGAGCCCCTTTTGAACAAAGAAGACCACCACCGTCGATTGGCCACGCCCGGCATGAAAACAGATGGCTGGTTTGTACCTTCCCCGCGTCTTTTAGATGCTCCCACAACTCTTCCGGTACTCCTACAACGTTGAAAATTTGTTACTAACATTTTTCGTGAGTAAAACTTTTTATTTACCTGATACATATTGACTGCAAGTGACTGATGATGCATGTAGCGAAGCCAAGTAAGGCAAATTCATCATTCTCCAAGTTTCGTCTTTTAAATCTATAGCTACCAATTCCTCTTCGGCTAAAACTATCAAAGTTTCCGGTTCTCCTTTGCTAGCTGCATTGTTTTCAACGCTGTCATTGTTGTCCGTTCCGTTTTCCTCGTGACTTCTAGATTCTATTAAAATAAAATCGATAACCTAAAAGAGAAAAAATACAGATAAAGAAAGTTAAATGATGTCTCTCTGTTATACAATAAATTGGACAAGTATAATAGAAATAACATCAGGAGTACCCCAAGGCTCTGTCCTTGGTCCCCTTTTGTTTTCCATATATATTTCAGACCTTTATAAATTGGAGCATGTAAATTCACACTCTTTTGCTGACGACATGCAACTATATTATTCTTTTGACCCATATGAAGTAGATATAGCCTCGGAAAACATGAATTCAGATCTAAATGCAGTATATAACTAAATGCCAGTAAATGTCATACAATATTATTTTGTCCTACAAATATAGAACATAATGTGCAACAGAACCTTAAGTTATTCATTCAAAATGAACCTTTAAAATCATGTAGAAGTGCCAATAACTTAGGCATTATCTATGACTGCAAACTAAGGTGTCAGGACTGTTTCGCTTCTAGTCAAAAAATCGTATCTGGTTATTCGTCAATTATACAGGAATCGAGGTATTTTGAGTTTCAAATTACGTAATTTGCTCTGTGAAAGTCTTGTATTGTCCATCCTAAATTATGGACTTTTAATTTACTATCCTTGTTTGGATCAAATAACCAAATACATACTTGTTGTCGTTTTGTATTTGGTATCAGAAAGTATGATAGAATATCAAATAAAATTAAAGAACTTAGCTGGCTCAATATAGGAATTTTATTTAAATATCACATGGCGACCAATGTATTTCGAATTCTTTTAACCTCAACTCCCATATATTTAAAAAATTAAATTGATATATCGGAAAGATCTGCACAGTTTACATTTGAGATATCCACACAACTTAACGATTTCGAATTACCGATTATCATTTTTCAAAAGATCTTTCACATATGACGCCGTTTCAATATATAACAGTTTACCTAGGGAAATCAGGACACGTTCTCTGATATTTTTAAAACAAAATTATAAAACGTTGCTATTAGTTGAGCAATGAATACAGTGCTAACGTTAATATGTTATTAATTTCAAACATTTTCCTTTATTTAATTATATTTTAAGTTCCATATATTTTTCTTGTTTTGCATTTTAAAAATAACGGATTTTAGGACCTAAATTGATTTCAGTTTAGATTAAATACAGGGTTAACACTATTTAATCATAAATTAATTGTATATTAAATTTCTTATTTTTTTTATATTGAGGTTAAGTTGAGTAGCGCAAGCTAGACTTCGCCTCATGATGTTTATGTGCATTGTATATTACAAGCAAAAAAAGGTATTTTATTATTATATTCATGAAATAAAGAGCACTGATAAGCGAGGAACGTCCGTTGCAGTATATGTATACCTCCCACTTACACCTTACACTGGTCTCAGTTGTCGTGTGCGTAGAGGTGCAACAATACTGAGAAGTATCGTTACTTTTTGCATGTATTTTGTATGATAATTGTATTGATTATACTCGATACTTTGAAAATAGGTATTGATACTCTTAGGTATCGAGAACGAGTACGTATGTGGCATCTAATTCGTGTAAATTAGAAGTAGATGGTCACAATTCACAATTAAGCGGGTCTTCATTTTCAATTACTATACTAATAAATAATAAAATTAAAGAAATATAATTTTATAAAACAATTTTATTATATAAAATTACAAAAAAAGCAACAGCTTACTGATCAGTTGTTGAATATAATTTTATGAAGTAATTTGTTATTAAGACGGCTGATAAAAAAATATTTAGTTATAACATGCATAATAAAAAAAATGATGCTTAATAAAGAAAGAAGTATTCGGTAGGATTATCTACAACAAGGACGTTATATGTTATACACTATCTAGGATAGCTAGAAAATCCTCGATATCGTTATGAATGATCGCCGAGTCAAGTTACGTGAGATTGTTGAAATGGTAAACATATCATATGAACGTGTGTTCAACATTTTGCATGAACATTTGCATATGAAAAAGCTATCGGCAAGATGGGTGCCGCGTTTGCTCAGTGTCGAACAAAAACGAGTTCGACAGACAACTTCACAGCGGTGTTTGGACATGATAAAGCGTAATCCTGTTGATTTTTGGCGTCGATTAATAACTGTTGATGAAACGTGGGTCCACCACTACACACCTGAAACCAAAAATCAATCGAAACTATGAGTGGAAGCTGGTGGAAGTGCTCCGAAGAAGGCGAAGACAGTGAAATCGGCTGGCAAGGTTATGGCCACTGTATTTTGGGATGCACACGGAATATTGCTCATCGATTATCTTGAAAAAGGATCCACAATCACAGGAAAGTATTATCGTGCATTATTGGATCAATTGATTGATGCAATCAAGAAAAAACGACCACATTTAAAGAAGAAAAAAGTGCTCTTTCTTCAAGACAACGCACCGGTTCACACAGCATTAGATACGATGCTAAAATTACGTGAAATACACTTCGAATTGGTTGATCATCCACCTTATAGTCCAGATTTAGCTCCTAGTGACTGTTTCCTGTTTCCAAACTTGAAAAAATGGCTCGCAGGAAAAAGATTCATCTCAAACGAAGAAGTGATTACCGAAACTAACGCGTATTTTGAGGGGTTCCCAAAATCGTATTATTCAGATGGTATAAAAAAGTTGGAATATCGTCAAACTAAGTGTATTGAGATAAAAGGAGACTATGTTGAGAAATAAATGTTTTTTTCCTACTTAGGTAGCTTTAATATCAATCCGCCCTCGTAGGCTATCAATATGGAAACACAGACAAATCAAAACGAGGAAGAATAAACGAAGGACGACCATGACAACGCTGACGAGCTCAGAAAAGGCAAGGATTATGTTTTTATAAAGATTGAATTAGACCACATTTTTTTAAAGAATAGCATTATAATCTGCCTTCTAGCATAGAGCTGAATCTGAAACATAATCGATTTGTAGTCTATAGGTACAATTTATTGCTAAATAATCAGTTAGCTCACTTGGACCAGTTGAATGTTCCAAAATAACATCCACTCCAAGGATACAAATTCAGGATGCGCAGAAGACTGCTGTTTGAATATAGTAGGCGGTTGTCATATATTGTATTGGTTATGATTTGATTCTGTATGCGCCAGGGATACAAATCCTGGTTGCGCAGTGTATAAACTGGAACATTGAGATCAAAAGTGCCGACGCAGAGTGAGCGAACTGATTCTTTAGCTATAAACTGTGCTATAGGGTTTGCATGCAATGTGTCATCTAAAATATGAGTTTTGCCTAAGTGTAGTTTGCAACTGGAATAGGAGAACAGGGTATTCATAATCTCAAAACAGAGAAAATCGGACAGAAAGAGAAAAATATACACAATGATGCAATAAATACCACGTAATATTTATAAAAAACTGAAGAATAGCAAAATTGGTGTTGATGATAAGTAATTTTTATCATAAGAGGCAATCATCGATGTCGGAAAGGACACTGAGATAATTTATAGATTGATAATTATTATAACATGGCTATCTTATGGATTAAACTAATTGCTGACAACTACAACCATGGACCAAAGGTGATCATTGAGGTATTCCTGCATAGTAGAAGTATACAAGTCATCATCAGCCACATATACTGAACAATATGATATATTTCAACTCATTTGGCTGTAGATTTTTGTTGTACAACAAGAGTTGGATATGATGGCTATAAAGACGAAGTTTAGGCACGCACCGCAGAGTGCTCAATCGTCCGAGTACGATATGGACAAAAAAAAAAGATTTCATTTAATTTAATTAGTCTCCAACCTAGATTTGAACTAATCTCAGCTCCGTAATTAAATTGAATTCATATAGTTTTATTAAAATGTATGATTTATTTGTAAATATAGACGAAATAACTAAAAAATATACTGACAAATAGTTTGACAGAACTGTCACGTATTTAAAATTTAAAAAAAATCATAGTAGCCAGGTGACTAAAATATGAACTGTGATTGGCGCAGTGTTCTTACTAGGTAGAATGGATATGAAATATATTCGTTCAGTTAAACGCAATGGCATACATTTTCGTTTTGTAGTATGTGTTTAGATAAGCTAATATTCATGTGGATGTAGAAAAAACGATTTTTTTTCAGATTGTTCTTTATTTAATGTACCATCCAGAAACTATTCGTATGACAACACATTTGGAGACTTAGTTGTTTAAGACAACGGTTTTTTTTAAAAAAGGGCTCATATTTACGTCATAAGGAATAAAAATAAAACCAATATGATCTAGAACAGTTTCGTGAGACAAATATTCGAGGGATTTCTGTTCGTATGACAGATTTGAAATAAAAAAAAGACAGAAATGATGTAAGTTTTGAGACAACAGCAACCGATAGATGTAATAATATTCTTAATAATATCGTGAATACTAAAAATATAAACTAGTGAAAAGTAAAACATGGCAAATGTCGACTATATTGTATAAGATACAAAAAATTTAATAAGAAAAGTAGAATTTATAAATTAGGAATTATGGTAGAAGAAAATATTTCATAAACAGTCAAGCTATAACTAGAGAGCGGATTTTTTACTAAGCAGGTGTTTTAACTCCTAAAAATTAATTTTCCGTCAATTTTTTTTCTTTACGCCTGTTCATGCGTTCATTTAAGTACACAATGTATATTTTTAGTGGTTATCAAAATATTTAACATGCATGTAATCAAAAAGTAAGAAACTTAAATTTACATTATTTTCAATTTAACTAAATTGAAAAAAAATCCTTATTTTGGTCTATTTGTTCTAACAATTCCAATAAGAACGGGCTTCATAAGGGTTTGCTAAATTAGAAAAGCAATGAAATAAAAGTATTTTGGAATTTTAATTGAATAACTTTAAGCCAGATTAATCTTGATAGAAACAATAAATAACATTTTTATGAGTTTTTATTCACACAATGTTAAATTAAACATGCAAAATTTAAATTGAACATTCAGTATTTGATAATAAATGTCTACCAGACAAACCACGAAAGTTAATGTAAAAATCCCAACAATAACATGCAAACACTACATCATGTTTTTCTAATTTTTCTCTGCATTAATTAGATATGTTTTTATATAATAATTATAAAACTAAATCACAAACAAAATACTCTATTAGTTTTTTAATTTAATATCAAAAATAACAATCATGCAAAACCCAACTAGATACCTTATTTCCAAACTGTTCGGCATCACTTTCATTATCATTTTCAGACTTTTGTATCCCAATCTGGCCCAAAATGGAAAAATTAGTCAAAAATTTCGAATTTTATATAAATTGTTAGTGTGTTTTTAACTATTGTCTATAATTAATCTACATTATTAAGGCAAACTTAAAATATTAAGCTTAAAATATGATTGGCACAATTAAGGAATAAAAATATCAGCGTTTAGGATATTATTTTAAAAGTATTTTTTTTTAATTTTTAGCTCAATAACATTTAAATGCTGTAAAGGACCATGCAGTAATCTTATGGATGAAGCAGTTATTAAAAGTACAGTGGGGTAACGGGTGGTACGTCCTTTCGAGGTAGACATTTTCAGGTCATACAAATCGTTATACAAATCATTAAGGGAAGTGAAAAGGTCGGCTTGTAAGAATAATAATTCGAATATATTCTGAAGTTTTAACTATAAAGTTTAGAACGAAATATAAATGTATGAATTTAATTATTACTTTGTCGGCTTTTCAAAGTTCTTTGAGAATTTTATTTTCATCTAATCACGTTTTATACCTATATCATTGTTCTATAATTTAAATAGATAATTTACATACATTTAATATAATAGATGATATTAATTGATCATACATAATAATAGTTATCGATGATAATCTAGTAAATTATCCCTGAAGCATGTGTTTTAATTATTTTGTTCTATTTATTTTTTGAGATTTGAAAATATTTTTCTTTTTTTTTTTAATGAAAAATGTTTAGTACATCTAAGATCTCTAGTCTTTATATCTAAGACTCACTCTTATGGTATTTGTCATGTTTTTAAAATATATTAGAGACTAAAGAAATATATATATCATCAAAGACAGACAGAAAAGCTTTCAATGGCTGCATAATTTTCAATTATGAAAAAAGACAAACAAGAATAAGTAATTCGCAGCTACTTTCAGTACTTAATTGAATGACGGTGCAAACTATAGAATGGACTATAATTTGTTGAATAAATAGTTGGGGACAGTGTTGCCGGTCTAGTACAATTATTGTACTAAATCTAGTACATTATAGTACACAATTTAATATTTTTAAGCTATTGCATAGCTTTTATCGCGGGCTTTGAGCGTGGCGACCGAATCAAGAAATTCCGTAACGAAAAAAACCTAACACCCCCCACTCCGACCGGCACAGCGGTGCGGCGTTAAACAATATTAACTTCTCATTTATTCAATAAAAGAAAATCGAAAAAATCGAAAAAGAAATTCCGTAACGAAAATAAGCCTAACACCCCCCCACTCCGACCGGTACAGCGATGCGGCGTTGAAAGCAGTGCATCGTCTAACGTCGTTCCAGTTCGGCAGATTTCGGCACGGTGTTTGTGTGCGTGCGACTAGACGTATGCGTGTAGACTAGCTGCTAACTGCTCATAACTGATTCTATCTCTTTTAGGCACAATTTCGGAAAAATTGAATTTGAAAATGAATAATGATCCACAAGAATCCACAACATATATGGGACCACCATTGACGCGGTATTTTCCAGATATTTAGAGGATATCAAGTCTCAAACTTATGTTTCTTATTTCAGTTACCATAAACCTATAGTTTCAATGATAAAAATTCCTGAATAACCTACATGTATTGTAAGATAATAAAAATATTTTAAACAATATTAACTTCTCATTTATTCAATAAAAGAAAAAAATTGTTTTCTTATCGGTCACCGCGCTCAAAAAGTGTAACTTGAATTAATATCAAAGAAAAAACTTGAATTAATATCAAAGAAAAAAAAAATTGCATAAATAAAATAAATAAATAATTATTATTGCCTAAGTTGATAAAAAATGCTATGCAATAGCTTTACCGCGGCAGTCCCCGAGTGCCACACGTATTTTTTCTTTCTCGGCGTACAGCAGAGTTCCATTTAACTTGTAAAATAAATTGTTGTTTTCCTTTTTTGTGTTCGTTATCTATAAGTCTTTTTTTTTCTTGCTCTTCAACGAATCAGACCGTCGCGTCACCTCAAATATAATTCGAAAAATTTGGTAATTTTTATGGAATCTGGTACGTTTTTAGACAAATCTGGTACATAATAAAAACATATTCTGGCCTCACTGGTTGGAATGTGTATTTTTAACTCCCAGTTGGTAATTTTTAAGTACGATTGTATTTAAATAGTTCAAAATTATTTCAGCAAAATGTACATATTTATTAGCGAGGAATGATAAAAAAGGCTGAAGAAATAATAAAACATTAATGGTAGGATTCTGGGAAATATTCTATAAGCTACAGAGGGGTTTATTCTGTAACAATTCCTTTATATTTAACGGCCTTTAAAAATATTTTCTTCTTTACTCATGTCATTATTTAAACGGATCTTTAAAATACATTAGAGGACTAGCTTAAAGAAATCTGTTTAAATAATGACAGAAGTAAATTAACGAATACGAACATATTTTAAAAGGCCGCCAATATTTTTAAAGGCCGTTAAATATAAAGGAATTGTTACAGAATAGACCCCAGAATCTGCAAGGTATAGTAATTTAATGTAATTTTGGCTTACAGATCTTATAGATTGTCTCAGAATCGACCCCATAAAGAACTAAAACGTTAAAAACAAGTAGTAAAAAAAAATAAATGTGAGAACATAAATATGTCGAAGTCATAGGCCTTTAATGCTGAAGTGAATTGTTTAGGACATGAGGAGAACTGGTATCATTGGATGAGTTGACACATGACGTAGATATTTGACAAATAATGTTTATAGGAGTAAACGATATTCAATGTTAAGTATCATAGATGTAATAAATATCGACAAATCATGCGCAGCAGTGTAGACAAAAAGGAACGTGAACGGATGTCGTTGAAAATTTGAGGTGATGTACAAATGTTGTACCCGAAACCCTTTGCTGCACAACTTGGACAATGATTCATTAATTAAATGTTGTCACGTCAAAAACTCGACAGTTTGGTGTGCTGTATGAGCGCTTGCATTGTAATTATGAAAAATAATTCGTTGATTTACGTTGTTTTTTCTAATTTGGTAAACAAATTGACGTATACCAGCCAACATATAGTTTTAAGGCTGCATATTATTGGACATAGTAAAACCAACAAATCCAAAAGATTAGTGCATGGTCTTCTTTGATATATTATTTTACTTAAAACGGTGTTAGAAAAAGCGAAGCATTTACAAAAAGCAGTTAACAAATATATTTCAAACTTACTTTGCTGGTAAAATCAAAAGCGACGTGTTTATCGCCGTGCGCAACAGAAACGGTGTACTTGTCACTATAGGATCTCGGTAAACCCCCAGCGAACACTAAAAGCTGCTCGTCGCCTAATTTCCTCGTTAAAATTTTCGGAATGGATTTGCAGGCGTAAGGACCGTACGTCGTGATTGGTTCGCCTACAGGCTTCTCTGATTGATCGATGTTCCATTCCATATAGCTACCTGGAAATTTTTTGTGAAATATTCCTTTGTGCAAAAGTTAAATTTCTACTCAGATTTTGATGAGGGGAAGAAGGGCGATACAATTTTTGTTGTTTTTGATTTGGATTACAAAGTAAATATAAAAATCACATCAAAACAACAATGGTATTTATTTTTACAAGAAAACATTGATTGTCCATTTAATAAGGTATTTAGAAGAAAATTGATAAAATGTCCCGCGCAGAAGCAACCTATAAAATAAGTACACATTGTTACAACGTTGTCAAATATACCCAGAGGGCGAATATTTTAAAAATATTTGTTTTCTTCTCGTAATGCATATATAGTTTCAGTGGTTTGTATTTTTGTTCTAGTTGTCTTGTCTTATTTGACTTTTGTGGACGTTTTTAAATTAGTTAAATCTGCTTACGGAAATCCAGGATTCATGTTCAATACTTACAAAAGATTCAAAAATAGAAATATAAACAAAATTGTATGGAATAATTTCAGTTTCAAACTGACATAATAATATATGTAGTTTCAAATATTTTATATGCGCTGGGTACCGCCTAAATAGAATCAAGTACTTTTAGGTTTGTAAACAATTTTACTGCAGAGTAAATATATTAATCATATCTAATTACCAACACATTTATGATATTTTTTTTACAACCGTATATAATATAAAGTACTTTTTTTCACTAGTGCGTAAAGTAAAACTTTTTACGCACTAGTGAAAAAAAGTAAAATTTGACAAAAATTGTACATAGCAACAAAATATAACGTTCTATTTTATATTACCATTTTTATGCTATATCCTTCTAAGACAAATAAGTAAATTATTTTTGCTTATATCTATTTAGTGTCCAAAAAATTATCAACAATTTTTAATTTTAATAGTACTCTATGCACTAGTGAAAAAAGTATCCTTTATATTTCTAATAGGTATTAGTGGATAATGTGTACGGTAGTAGAAAAAATATTGTATGCAACTCGTGTGTAAAGTCCCTTTTTTGCTCCTTTTGATTTATATAAACTAATCGCCTATCAAAAAAAAAAAAAAAATATGTATTGCAATTTTTATTATAGGAAGCTTATTTAAAATTCACATTGAGAAACACAAGAAAATTAAAATATATTTAGCTGCTAGACCACTTTATGCGCTATCCAGGAGGTTATTCTCTAACTTTCAGCCGAAAACGCATAACTACGGAAGAGCCAAGCAGACTTCTCAACAAAGTTTGATCATTAATACATGCGATTATGGTATTCTCACCTAACAATTTTTCTTAAGTGATTTTAATTTTTGTCGTAAGTTGTCATTATGAATCATAGTTGTCATAATTATAAATCGTAAATGCTGATTGGTCTGAATCACTTCCGATTCTGACACCGTGGTGTCAAGATTGAAATGGCGGTCTCCGAATCGGGAGTCATGTGTGTATGTGTTTCTGTAAAAATCTTAAATAAGAATGGTCATCGATTAGTGAATCTAGCCTTAATGGGATTACGCATCCTGTTAAGAAGTTTCAAATACATAGTTTAATTATATTACGGGTATCCGACTGCCAAGAGCAAGACATCGATACTCTCCCGTTTTGACAGCTGGGTAAATTGTCCTGTAGAATATAGCCCAAAAAAAGGAAGAAGAATATTGGTCTGAATAATTAAGGTTAGGATTTAAATGTCATTTTGACATTATTCTAATTCATTAATCATTAAACATAGACGCAGTAGTTTAAAAGCAACTAGATAGGACCCAAATGCAAACTCTTTTAGAATATATTGATGCCAATTTCAAAATTATAACGAATCAAGAACATAATAAATAGTACCTATATATATTTGCAGACATTTTAATATTCAAGTCATAATATTTAGGTCCATATTTTAATGTTTGACTTATCTTCGTCTGCAAATCTTAGGACAAGTTGGAGATGACGCTCTATGGAGTGGGCAGGGCATGAGCAAAGTCCTGTCAAGTCGGAGAGCGAATGTAGTAACATCTCGAACGCGCTCTGTCACTCAGAGTAAAAATCATAACCTCAATCCAGTATGTCAGTTAACGGTCAGTTAATTATTATGCATTACAATAGAATAACATAAAATAAACTTTCAGAATTTACTTATAATAATCTATGAGTTAAAAAATAATATGTACCGTTCATTGATATAATTGACATTTCATTATTTAACTTCCCGACAGATCTTGATCTTCTAACACAGAATTAAAAGAGTGCACTCAGAGTCCGTACTCAGAGTCATATCGAACGCGACAGAACACACTCCGAATCTCTAAAAAACGCGATAAATAAACTCAGAGCAACCTGAGTTTCCACTCGAACTCACGGTTAGCCTTAAATGTCAAACTTTGAAGTGCGAACAGCAAAACGCTACTTATGTTTAACTTTTTTGCAAGTGCTTATTGTTTTTCAAATACGAACAGCACAGTAACTAGAGAATTCTAAAACGTTTGTGTTTTACGCTTTTGTTAGTTGTCTAGAATATACAATATTAAATTAAGCGAATTTGAGAAACGTTTCCTTTTTTTTTGACTGTTTCACAACCAGCCCCTTTGGGCAGTATCAACTCATTCATTCTAATACATTTTTTTGGTCCTTCGAGCCGGATGATGGTTCAAATTTCTAGTAGCAGTGGTATAAGCACAATTAGGATCGAGTCGGATTATGATGGTTGTAATTATGTAACACAGTCGTAGCGGTATTATTCGCGTCAGCATGTATGGCGACACACACGGCACATCTCGAAGTGTAATATAAGCAATTGATTTGCTTGTTCTGATTCAAGGTCACTTCACTGGTTTTACGTTCATGAAGCGCTGGTGCGGTCAAAGTTCGAAATGAGCTTGTTGTATTGTCTGTTTTGTCTGTTGTCACTGATAGTAATTTTTATCAATTCGAAATTTTCTTGTTTATGAACAATTTTCTCAACTGCACTAAAGGTGAGTTTAAAATATCTAAGGAAAAACGGAGTGATATGATAACGTTACTTTTTTTGATCAGCTGTTTACAAACAAGTAGAACTTTGACAGTGTCAGTATTTTTATAATAGAGTGAGCTGTTTGACTTTTATAGCCATACTAAAAAAAAAAAAAAAACTGCACGGAATACAATAAACAACAAAAATCTCAAAAATAAGAAAAAAATTCACACGGTTTAAAGTCTGCAACTAGTCCATTTCGAACTATTCATCTATTCGGGAAAGTAATGTACAAAAACTTTCGCACTTCCCAACTATTGACAGGATCGGATTTTGATTTTTTAATTATAAAACTTTCTCTTTTTGTTGCGTGGCCACCGAGATCACCCGACATAAGTCCTTTTTATTTTGTATAGTTAAAAAGAGAAAAAATCAACTTAGGAACAGTGTATACGTTAATTTTCTTCAAGGCCACTACTGAATGTAGTTCTTCCGAAACCTCTTATAATAACAGAAATTCTTGCTCTTGAGATTAAAAAAAAAATCACACTTGCCTCTTATTTATTTAACACGTATTTGATTCTAACTCTAGAGACAGATTGTTTATTATGTTATAGCTACTGACCAATGGCTGTGAATACCACGCCCGCATCGTAGATAGTAATGAATTTCATGACTGACAGTTCTACCTGACATATTAGTATTTAGTTCGAATTAAATTCAAACATTGATGAATATAATGATTCTTATGAGGATATTTGATAATATTCCTCATGAACTGACAAATTATGCAAATAATTTAATTAAGAACTTGCCTAACATAACTTAGATTAAATGTTTCATTTGATTCAAAGTTTAATTTTACTACATTTAACTCCTAATGTGTCTATGGCCGATGAGAAAGTACAGTCTGTTACTCTGATGGAATCAAAAACCGATTCTCACTCGAATGGGTTTTGCATACTATTAATATTAAAAATTGCCTCTATATTGTTATAGTCTAAATATTCCATCATAGTTACCAAATAATATAAACAAATTTACATCAAAAGATGGCATTTTTGCATTTGTTTTTAAAATTTTTCCTTAGTAGTATTTATATTTTTTTGATTGTAGTTGTAGTTTTTTAATTGTAATAATTCAGTATTAAAATATAAATGTCTAATTTAGTAAATATAATTTTTAAAGTTTAAGAACAATTTCGTTATTTGGAAATGAAAATTCATTCAGATTGCATGACCTACATATTAATAGAATAAATAGAGGTGGGGCATACTTTTTTAGTTAATCCACCTTTAAAGATATAAATAATACAAAGATAAGACTGAATTTAATGAATGATTCATTTTTATGATAGCATCTAATTTTACAATAACCGATAGAGTATCAAATAAAATGTATTTGTTTTATATTACTTCTCAAATTAAAAATATTCCTCTGGATAAAACGCATTTGATACATATTGAATGCATTATAATTCTTCTATTGGTATATAAAATTTATATTTGAATATTTTTAATTAAATAAATATTTAATAAAACACTAATTTACTTCTAAATGTCTAATTATTTTAATTATACAATTAATATTAATTTTGTAAAAGGGATGTAATCGTTAATAAACAAAATTTTTGGCTTACCGTCATTATGGGCACTAAGAAAATTCCTTCCATCTTCTTTCCAACACAGCGCTTCTAACTGCTGATTAGCAATAAAGGTTTTAACAGCACTATTATCAACTCTATTCCAAAGAACTATAAGACCTCTATTGTAACCTACTAGGATGTTATTGGGCTGATTTGGTTGTTCAAAAATAGATTCAACGGCTCCTGGATTCAGTTTGTAATCTTGAGGAACGCTAAAATCATAAACATATTTATTCAATATTATTATAGTTTCGAAAAATGTGTTTTCTTACTTCTGCATGACTACATCTTGATAAATGATATCCGGAGTCATAGTGAATGTATTTAAATCCAACAAGTAAATGTTGCCGCCTTCTGTACCAAGCAACAAATGTTTGCCGGCAGATTCCAAGCACATCGTTGAAATCTTTTTCAATTTTCCTTCTAAAGCTTGCGATTTTACTTCTACTAATGAGCTCTTGTTTACCTCCCATAGGTGGAGTGAGTTGTCGTCACATAGGGATACAACTCTACCTGTAAACATGTCCATTGTGGGGAAAATCGGTGATTTGGTTTTTAATTAATTTAATAAATCTCAATGACTCATTTTTGTAACAGTTGTTTAGTATTAATTATTTATAGTTTTAATTACTACAACTTGTTTGTTATTGAATGACTAAGTATTTCAAATGGCAGGTAAAGTTCAGAACTAATATGAAAAACAGACAAAAAAATGATTTCGCTGTTTTGGTGTATTAGCAAAGAGTAAAAATGTACTTTCACGACTAAAAGAAGGCAGCGTAAATCATTTTGAATGAATTGAAATTTGAATTTTTTACAAACAAAACTTAAAATTAAGATTGGAAAAACTCACTTTTGTGTATTTTATCATCTATTTTGACATACCTTGGTTTGGCAGGAAGACAACTTTCGTCACGGGTATAGGATTTTGATGTTGGCCGTAGAATTCGACTCCTGGTAGACCAAATACTTTGATTGCGCCCGTCGCCGTGCCTATACATATTAATCTCAATGATGGGTCCCAAGCTAAAGCTGTGGGTTTGTGAGGGAAGCCATGTTGAAGTGTCTAGAAAAAAAAAAGGAAGCAATTATAGTAAAACAATATATTCCTAGTTTTAGATTTTGTTTGTACATTCTATAAAATGTTAATATTTGTCTTATCATTTTTTTTTTTTCAATAATTTGTAACAGAGACCCTATTTCAAATCAGCAAAAATGTTTCAAGGATTCTCTGATATAAAATGTATTTTTATATGCGCCGCTGGGAATACTTCGCAATATTATGTGTCTCGAGAATATTGAGAGCCTTTAATTTGTGCAACGATAAGGCAGCACTCTACATAGACGTTAAATAAAAAAAGGTAGGAAATCCTCCCATTTATTATACCAAAAAGCAGCAAATGTTCATAGATTTAATAAAAAAAAAGCACACGGCACATAATTTTTTTTTGAGCTCTTGAGCCCTTTTTGAGCCCAATGAAGGCGCCTCGATGCAAGGCGACGCCGCTCAACGCTGCAACGTACCTAAATCGACGCCGTCACAACGTTAGATGAAATTAGTACATAATCTAATGTGTGTATTTTCAATGGCGAGTCAAAAGATTTATGTAACTTTCTTTGAGATGCCACCGGGGTCGTTTAGACGAGGGCCTGACATTTTCTTCAAAATATTATCAATGTAACTAATAAACCATATGGCCTTCAGTCGTTCACCTCGAAAGACAGTTAGGTTAGTCAACTATTTTCGATAGGTGAATTTAAGTTAATTTAATAGAAATTATAAAAATCAATATTAAGAAATATACAGGGTTGTATTAAGTTATTTCAATATAAATAATAAAAATCAATATTAAGAAAAATATGGGGTTGCTTTAAGTCATGTCAATAGAAAGTATAAAAATCAATATTGTAGAAATATACAGGGATGTGTTATCTTGGATAAATTGTACAAACCAAGATGGTAAAATTTAATAGTAAGTTAAGCAACTGGTGAATACACTGTTCGTTAGCTCAAGGGGGGACACCTATACGCTAAGCCACCCATTCTACAAGGTTTGAAACAAAGTATATGTGAAATCAACATAGTAATGTAACCAACTGGCGAATTGGCGCTGTTCGTTACTTCCGTTGGTCATCACCTCTATTCGCTCCGTGCGCGACAGCAGCGCCAATTCGTTTTGGTATTAATGGACTATTTCTGCGTACACTGACAAATGCAATTTTTAATAGAATTCGTAATTAAAAAGTATATATGTTAGTTTTAATAAAAGTATGTATATGGATTTGTAAAACAAGTAAAACATTAATTTATTATTATTATATATTTTTATCTCTTAAATTAAAGAAAATTATGTATAATCAATAAAAATGAATAATAAAATATAGGCAGGCAACAGTATTTACTGGAAAATGTATGAGAAGTTGCCTAAGTCTAATAAGTTGTCATTGAAGAATTATTCTGTCAAAATAAAAAAATACCATTTAAAAGAGAGTTATTGCAAGTTCACTTAAGGTCAGTCACTATTAGTGCCGCTCTTATTTTGACATCTGAGCATGCGCAGATCACTAACTTTAATAAAGATTGTGCCTATCCTTAATAGAGAGATATTGCAAATTTCTATAAAGCCAGCCACTAATAGTGACATCGTAATTAGAGTCAAATAAATTCTATAATAGTACCTAATATTAAAGAGGCATTAGAAATTATAATTTTAGAAGGTTTAAATGACGAGCGCATCCGAAAGTTATAAAGTCGCCACTACCTGCTGCCCTTAAACATCCACAATTAAGGACAGGCACAATCCTTAATAAAGTCAGTTTTAGAACATAAACATCTGCGCATGCTTAGATGTCAAAATAAGAGCGGCACTAATAGTGACTGACCCTAAGTGAACTTGCAATAACTCTCTTTTAAAGACAGGCACAATCTTTGTTAAAGTTAGTGATCTACGCATGCTCAGATGTCAAAATAAGAGCGGCACTAATAGTGACTGACCTTAAGTGAACTTGCAATAACTCTCTGATAACAGGATACACAATTGTACACCTATCCATTTATTCCTTTGATTTAATTTCCACTTTGCTACTGAAATTTTTTATATAAGTTTCACTGTTTTTTTTGCTAGTATTTGTACAATTTTCAACACAGCAACTCCGGTTGCTTATTGTATTGTTTTCACCTACTTTTTTGAAAAAAAGTAAAATGTATACGTGTATTTGATATGCCAAAATTACAAAATATCGCCCTAAAATGCACGAATTATCCGCAGCTAGCGCTAGTATCGCTTTTGCTTCCCTTTCCATGACTTCGCACGGAGCGAATACTCATCTAAATATTTACCTAAGAGGGTGCAACCTGTGTATATCTAGAATAGAATCAAATCAACATCAACACAGTAATTAACCAACTGGCGAATTGGCGCTGTTCGTTAACTCCGTTGGTCATCAACCTAAATAATAAAATAATCACATTGTATTGAAAAGAACACAGATATGGATTTTAGAAAATATACTTGTTGAAGCATGTCTCTTGTGTTCACTTGCTTTATCTGAATAATAGAACAATACAATGACATTGTTACATCCTCAATAATACTGAAACTGCGTGTAAAACTGACGATAGTAGATATGTCACAAAAAAATCGTAAAATATTTTAAAGACACACGTTGTAGATATTGATATCTGTCTCATTTTTCGTTTATCAATACCAATTTCATATATTTAATCCTAGCTATAAAAGAGCAATAAAATGATTATTTATTGGCAAATGATAAGGTGTACGCTGAAAGTATTTGATATTAGTCACAAGTGAATTAATTAACTGGGTAGGAATAGGAATGAAATACCTGAGGAGCTAAATTTGGATACATCATATTTAACAATAAGAAATCAATACGTCTTAGGTAAATTTATATTAAATAATATTTTGTTTAAAACACTAATATTAATAGTATTATTATTAATAATATTAATGTTATTAATAATAAACTACTAATGAAAGAAAGGTTAAAGACCTTCAGGGTAAGTTTCAACTACACTAATAAGGCAGTTACGTTATGGGTATCTTCCTTGGATCTAATAGCTTTTTAACTTGAGCTTGTTGGAAGACATTCTTTTGTATTGGTAAAAAACCGATTCAAATAATGTTCTTGTAATATTTAATAATATATTGATGTTTTAAAGAGATAATGAATTATATTAAAAGAAAGGTTCCGTTGATTCGGTTAATCTAATTAATAAAATAACCTCTCCCCGCGGAGTTTTTTTTTATACACAAATACTTTCTAACAAAATCGAAGCTCTATTGGAGTGTAGCAAAACGATTGAAATTTGATTTGTTCTTCTGAAAGTATGACACAACAAAAACGGGTTTATACACTTCAGCGTGACCAACAAGATATTAATTTATTGGAAATTGTATACCCTATAGCATAGTAATACAATATTTTATGTATAAATGAGATACTGCTTGGTAGTTGATAAATTTCATTATCGGCATTTTTCAAAGCGTAATTTTAAATATGATTGGTAGTGGAACAGGTGGAAGATAGCAAATAAGATTGAAGTAGAAAAAAAGAAACATGGTAAGGTATTTGGGTATTTTACAAAAAAAAGTAAGCCAGATATTTTTAAATGTTGACATTTTTCTGAATAGTCTGGTAAATTCTAGATGAAATCAGTATCTTGCGCTTTTCTCTTCAGGTTCACTGCTGTTGATTAAAATAATTTAATTAAAATTTCTTCATTTAGCAGTATCACACACTGTATTATAGACTTTTGTAAGTTTTGTAAAGAGATTACATAGACAATTAGAGTTAAAACACTTGTCCTCTATTTAAACAAGAAATATGTTGTCACGTTGAAGAAATTAATTTTTATCAACCGTTAATCAACATCACTTTACTGGCACTAAAAAAAATCATTTCCTGAACTTGGCACATGACATAAGATGGGATGGAGTCAAGAACAAGTCGACCGTAAAAGAACAGATGTTCAAGAATAACTCGCGAAGAAAAACTAAGAAACCCGCTATCCGCAAATTGTACAAGTAAAATATAATTTTTCAATTATATTCTGATGTAAATCCTGTAAAAATTGATTTGAAAAAAGTGCGTTAAACCATGTTAAATTTACGTAAATGATACGAGGGTTGATGCAAATCTAATTGCTTTTATATTGAAGTTAATTATTGTACATACGTTTAAATAAAATTTTTAATCAATTACCCAAAAATGACTAAAATATTAAAGGATTTGGCTTTAGTATCTCGATGTTGATGATGCATTCTTTGTTTGAAGCATGATTTTGTCATAAACGACCTTTATGCTAATAGGACAGTATCATGCTTTAATGTTTCTATAAAAATTAAGATCCAACTAGATAAAAAAAAGGAAATTTTATAGCCTATTGTTAAAGTTTTTCGCTATTTTATACTACAATGTGGGCATAACAATTATTTAACAGATACGCTCTTAAGAAAAATTTGTGTATTACGCATTATTACATTATTGGTTGTAGTCATAGATTATAATATTAAAAATAGAACACTTATTCGTAATAACAGTTCAGGTTTTATGTTCTCAGGTGATTTGTTTATTACAATTTTAGTGTGATTATACGTATGGAGGTTGACAATCTCTTCTCACAAGGAATAAGGCAGCTAAAAGCATAATGTAGATGATTGAAATAATTCGGCCCACAAAATATTCACATTTTAATACAAAATCATTAATAAAGAGTTACAAAAAAGAAGTTCTAAGTTCTTAATAATAAGTTGACCAATTTTTTTACAATGGAAAGAGACGTAAAATTTAAAATAACCTACTGACGATTTGATTGGGTCAACATTAGTTTAATAAAAAAATAAGTCACATCATTTTGACTACTTTTTTCTATCTCCTTTTTTTCGAGACTCTGTAAAACATACCAATTTGGGACACCCTGTACAATTATATTTACTCATCTAGTAGAGTAAACTTTAACAATACCATTGTGGATTTGTAAACAACAGTTCTGCAATCTGTAAAGTATCTGACGATACTTCTTTGCAACAATGTTCGATTTTT